AGTATTAAAACCAGACATTTGAGAGCGGCTCGAAAATTAGAACTAAACGAAGCGCATGAAACTTGGTACATAAAATTTAAACTTAAACTAGAGTCTTTTAGAAAAAAAAACGACAGTAGCTTTTCTACTAACAAAATAACAACAAAAATTGTGTTTAGTTTATTCTCAAGAATAGTTGCCTAGCAATCAGATCAGCCTCCACGCTGGTGTCTGGGCCCATGGCAATACAAGACAAGGTGACCACGAATACGTGAGTAAGTGATTGCTAATAAATTTTACATCTTCTCGCGTTTCTGTGAAACTGATGTCATTATGTTCATAAAAGGAAATTTGTGTCAGAACAAGCCTTTCGCTTTCTTGTGTTAACACTTGTTTCTGAATTGAAAATGAGGCTTCATTAGGAGAATAAAAGAGAAATTGCAAATGAATTTAATAGCCAGAGGAATTGAAGAAAAGTGTTGAAGTTTCCAATGTTGAGCAAGCGAACCAAATATGCACGGAAACATGTACTCGTGTTTCTATGAGGCCTTTGCTGATCTTTTTATAGGAGAATTTTTGTAAAAGAAAAGCTGAGAGAACAAAATACGTTAAAGGGTATCTGTCGGTGTACCAAAGTCTGTCCGGATGTACAGTTGTTTAACGAATCGTTTGGAAATATTTGCGTGTTATTATTGTAAAGTTTATCTCCGGTCAGTGCAATCAGAGTTCGTTATTGCTGCGTTAAGCTAATTAGTTTCAAGATAAGCAAACACAGGTGCGCAGTTTTAATTTTGATAAAAAAAGTAGAGGGGGAAGGTGTAGAAGGGAAGAGTCGTCAAATAGAAGCGACAGTAGGTACACCTTAGTGTGGGAAAATTCTGTGGATCGTGGGAAAATATTTTGGCAGTTGGCTCGGGTCATACGGATATTTGAAAGGGGAATTGGCAAAAATATATTATCGAGCGACAAAGGAAATGCTAATTGGTACGTCACAGTGCTTATTTACATCTAGAGCCTGTTTTGCGCAACTTTTACGGTGTCTTAATATTGACGATTGAAGATTGGAACGATCTTTTAAAATAGCAACCTTATACCAAAATACAGCTATATCGATCACAAAAAGCAGAAAACTGTTGGCTGATCGAAGATGCCAACTTTGGAAATTACTATGAACCGACGCTTTGGGCTTACTTTATAACCGGAAATTTACCGAAGATTCAGATAAAATTATAACCACCATCGATATTCGATAATTCAATCAATCGTGTTGTATGAAAAAGAACAAGATTTAGGATTTGTTTAGCACGAAATACGTAATAAACGATGAAAACTACTATAGGATCGTATAACTTATTGACTTGAGAGGAAGCAAGGAGACCGCAACTATCGAAGACGTACATGAAGATGCCAAACATTTGATAAATCGATTATGTGAGAAAGTCTCTTTTAAAGCAATGCATTTAGAAGAAATTTCATATCACAATCCTTCAATTACTTTTAATGTTGTATTTGGTAAATAATAATAATAATAATAATAATAATATATTTATGCTTACAGGGAAACAATTGCTTGCATTCGTCACAAATTACAATCGAAATATTACACATAAAAAAACTTAAAATTTAAAAATTCCTCAAAGTTATAGAAACAATTATTCAAAAGAAGTGTTTTAACTTCTAACTTAAACTTAGCATTTTCCAAATTTTTCATAGATTCTGGGAGATGGTTGTAGAATTTTAACGCCATCACTTCAGAGCTATTCTTGATTTTGTCCAACCTGAAGAAAGGTATTCTGATATTTTTGTTACCTCTGGTGCAGTAATCATGAATATTTGATTAAAAGGTGTACTTTGAAATGTTAATTTTAGCGTGACAGAGACACCTTAATATAAAAATACACGGTAAGGTTAATATTCTCGCACTTCCAAATGCATCACGGCAAGCACTGCGGTGTAAAGTCTCGGTCTGTGTAATAAAAAAGTTATAAATGGGTTCATATATGCAAAACCTTTCTAGTCTATTTACCTATGCGTGGTCTTTGACCGGTGAGTAATGGACTTTGATTGGCCGGTAACCTTTGGGCTTTGAACAGCGGGGAATGAACTTTGATCGGTCGGTAATCTATGGACTTTGAACCTTTGAGTGATAACTTGACCTACTTTCCAAGATTAGATAAAATAACGGTATAATACAGGCAAAATATTGTATTTATCGCCATTTATCTAAACTTGAAATGTGCGCATGCGTCATTTTAACGCACAACGTTAACCAGTCAGTCTTCACCTATTCCTGACGAGTGTACAAGCGAATTTCAAAGTACACCGTCTTACTTATTGACCTCTAACTATAAAACTGTTAAATCCTCGTACTGCAGGTAGTTGCGCGCTAGCCTTCTATTTCATGTATGGGTTCGAAGGCCAATAAAAAAATTCTCCAACAATCACCGAATTGACTTCGACTTCTACCTATAAAGTTGTTAAAGCCTCCGTAGCTCAAAAGACTACGCGTTAGCTTTCTATTTCAGGAATCGTGGGTTCGAATTCCAACACCAATAAAAAATACACCCCGGGCCAACTGCCAAAATTAATCAAGTACCCCGGGCCAATTGCCAAAGCTACCCCCTGTCAATTGCCAAAATAGAATCAAGTACCGGAGGAGTTGCCAAAATTTGACCCGGGTCAATTGTCAAAATTTGACCTGGGCCAATTGTCAAAATTTGACCCGGGCCAATTGTCAAAATTTGACCCGGTTCAATTGCCAAAATTTGACCCGGTCCAAATATTTTCCCACGGTACGAGTGTGCCTAGAAGTACCAAATTAACTCGCGGTAAACTAACAAATACAGTGATAATAACTTTGCGGGAATTTGAATTTAGTCTGAATTATAAATACCGATGGTGAAATCCAAAAAACAGTGCTTATCGCGAATGAATGGCACCAAGTGTTAAACTAAATGCACCAATATTAAGAACTAAATTTCACCATAAATCGGCTGTTTTCCACTCGTTAATGGTTCGTCAAAGAAGCCCCGCTTGCGAGATGTATTCCAATGAGGCCTTGGGTTATTTGGACGGAAATAAAATTCAGATGTTTGGCTAATTATGATACTCTTCATCGAATGATTTTAATCAAAATTGAATTAGCAACGTCGGGACACTAAACGCCATCTTGAAATAATCAGATTACTTTCTGTTGCTTGTCTCAAGTTGATTTCCAGTTTCCTTTCCCGATTACCATCGAGAGTGAAGGCTTTAAACCGATTCGGCTTCCGGTCCGATAAACTGATCCCAAAACACGTTGATTTCCTATTGAAGCCTGTTTACGGGACGTAATTTCGATAACAAGTAAACTTGCATATATCATTTGCTTGTAACTGGCAGGTCTACCTCACAAAAAAAAGAAAACAAGAAAAAATTCGGATGTATTAACAAACACATCAAGGCTTAAGATAATTTCCCGAAGAAAGACGCACATATTTAATGGAATTAAGCTCATTTTTCAACAGCGCCACCCAGTAACTTGAATGAAAGATACAACGTAATTTTCATTCCAATGTACCGCCAATTTAAAGAGAAAAATTGGATTACGTTTTTCATCCCCAGTTTCTATACCTCTTTAGATTTCATTTTTATTTATTTATGCAGATGTATATGAAGCTCGGCCCCAAGTTCGTGAATAATAAATATCACACGTACACAGAGACGATACTTTCGTTCGAACTAATTTAACCTTATTTTAGCTTGGAGAGAATGGAAGCTATAGGGGAATCACTCAATCAGACAATGCATTATAATGACTTCAATGTATGTTGACGCATACATAAAAAGGATCGCAACTTCATTTACGTGTGTAATCCTTTTTTTAAGGTACGTGTATCTCTAATCGGATTGATACATGGAACACCACTATTTGAAACATTTATTTAACACAGCAATCGTCAGCCCATGCGATTTAAAACGGGCGTCCTGATAAGAAGCGAATGCAATGTTATTTTATTTGAGTTTTACATTTACAATACGTTTTCCGTTATTTGCCAGCAGCAATAGATTTCTCTTATGTGCGATATACGAGGCGTACCAATTAATTATGTTAAAAAACTGAAACAGTGAACTAAAACAAACATTTTTTGGCAGTCAGCCCTGTTTAGATGTGGAAAAGCAGCTCGCCGTTATCCTAATAGGCTAGGAAATGAACCAGATTAGGATTAATAATAATAATAATAATAATGGAATTTATTGTTCGACAGACACTCGGGCCCATAATTGAACAATATTCATATAAATTCACTTAGTGGCTAAGCTACATTTGAAAATTTAATAATTACAGTGACAAAATCAGAATAATGACTATAGAGAATAATGACTATAGAATGCATATTCAAGGAATGAAAAGCGACACAAATACAGCCAAAGTAAAGAATTTACGATCGGATATGAAGGAAAATACCAGTGTGCTTTACCAGCACTACGACAGTGTCAATGAGCAGGTAAATTAACCAAAAATCCATGGTTTTGTACATGGTTCGCGTACGGCCGCCGAGTTAGTTTTATGGAAACAAATATATTAACATATGAGAATATCTATCGGATAAGGTAAATTAAAGCATGAAATACTAGTAATAATAATAATACTAAATGGACGAAATTAAATTAAATCCAACCAGATAAAAGTTAATATTAGCCATCAAACAAGAATTCGTGAGAATTGACAATTTTTGTATTAGAGCAATTGGTTCCCTCAACGGTGAATTACAAATAGCATATTTTGGAAAAATGCTCTGTAGGTATGCAATGAAACAGAAGACAATACACGTAAAGTATATGTAATACAAAAAAGAAGGTTAAGAGTGCTGGATTCGCTTTAGAAATTCAAGCATGTAATGAAGAATTATATTGCTGTTCAGTTCTCTATAAAATTTTTCGAGTGGTAGCTCCTTTTATACATCAGCCTTATTGCAGATCTCTCCGTAATCCAATTCGTGCAGGTCGATTGAAATGGCGATTTTAAATTAGGAACTCACCCGATATTGAAAAAAGACCGACGTTCGTTGCGCCCAATTCTGAAACAGAAAAATCGATTAAGTATAAACGACTATACCATTACCGCATAATTATGACCCAGTTGAAATTAAGCGACGGATTTAAAAATACCAGCTAATAAAAAGTCGTGGGTAAATAAAGCAATCACGTAATGTCTAAATGGCGAGCAGGTTTAAGGTAACGTGTGTAATAAACATTAAATAATGCATTTAGCCTTAATTTAACTTGTCAGTATCACGAAAAAAGGTTTTGAGGAAACTTTGTGTCGCGTTTTAAAAGTTGCTTTAAAATTTAAATAAGCAACCCCACCACTAGACTACCTCATCAATAATTCCAGGCGTTAGTTTTTTACCTGATGATAACGGGTATTTCTAAATTAGGGTGTTGGGTTTCGGTTTGAAAATTAAAAATTATTAAAACTCATACGCCTTTTCTATTAGTCGACATATTACTTTGCGAACAGATTTCTTCTGGCTGAAACAAGAGAATGTGGATTTCCTGCTCTTGGGGTGGCATTGCGAAACGTGGAATTCCTTTGATTGCAAATGTACGTATTAAGATTAGGTTCTGTCAGGCTTTTAATTGAGGTAGTTTGTAGGAAGCCACATGACTTTAGCACTCTCCCGGACGTAATTATTATTAAAGTGTATTGGGATTTTAAGATTTGTCTGTTTTGTTTGTGAGTAGTGTCATATCCCAGTATAATTTATGTGTGTGGTTTTCAAGTATTATCTGTGCAGTATGCTTGCGGTATGGTATCTGTCTGCATATGTTACTGTTTTGTGTAGGGCTGAAGTGTCTGATTTGTTATAAATGTATTGACGAAAATTGTGTATTTGTGTTTGTTGTAATAATTTTGTCTGTGCCTCCTCTACCTGCCTGAGAACAAGGAAGGTAAAGTTGTCTTGTAAAGGAATGAGGGTGGGGCAGAGCAACTTACTTACTTGGTTACTCAATAAACACAAAATATACACAAATATAAATTTAATCTGAAAACATCATAAAGAACATTGGAAATTTATGTTTACTTAGTTTTAAAAATTCTCAGGCAAAAATAGCGTCCATTATTTTGAATGCATTGTCTCAATGGATTTTGAACTCTTTGCAGCATATCCCCGGGTATGTTGGCAACAGTGTAGCCAATGCTGTTCTTCAATTCATTAAGAAAGAATATCCTCAAACGTATCACAAAACTGATTGCGTGTTTATCTATCCCGGGGTTATTTTGGTAGTTACACTGAGGTCTCATATTTTCGGCAGTTGGCCCGGGATGCTATATTTCGGTAGTTGCCCTGCTATCTTGCATACCAAAATTTGCATCCACCATTATTTGAGAACGTTGGGATCCGAACCCACGATACCTGAAATAGAAAGCAAACGTGTAACCACCTAAGCCACGGAGGCATCAAAAATTGTATAATTATAGGTTAAAGTCAATAAAAAAACAGGCGGAGACAATTTTGCGAGAGCTTCTAACCTGTTCGTTAACTTTTAAATATTTGCTCTTGAAATATTGACATTGGAAAATTATGTACTTTGTACTTTTTTCCCCTTCCTGGGTTGGGATATATCACGCCTACCCACTTTGACCATTTCATCTATTGTGCGTGTTCCAGTATCTTACTCAGAGAGAGAGATACAGTTTGTTGAACAATCTGAGGATCCTCTCCGGCTGCAGCGAGCTGGTTTTGATATCCTGGAAACTAGACAGTTTCTTGAATTGTCTTAGTCCAGGGGAAGATTCATATAGACGTTTCCACTGCTTTCTGAGCTGGCTTCTTATCATTTCTCCAGATAGACTTGGTGGTGCTCCACAGTAGGGTTTCGGGCCAATTTGGGGATGTTTTGTGCCGACCTTAGCGAGGCCATCAGCCTCCTCGTTACCGGCTATCCTTCCATGGCTTGGCACGCACACTAACGTAACACGATTACGCCTGGCTACTTCTTTCACTTTTGTGTAGTATTCCATAAGCATCTTGGAAGTCAGGGAGAAGGCTGCTGGAGTCTTAAGAGCTGCTGACTGTCCGAGCAGATTTAAATGCGCGCACCTAGTAACCCGTTGACACCAAAATGACCTCAGCGCACTTGGTTATAAATATAAACTCGGCTTGAAATACTATAGGGGTGTTTCCTAAGGCCATTGAATATGTACTCAGGAATGATTAGTTTTTGTACAACTCCTAAGTGTTGTAACCTTTGTGTATTTCTCCCACCTCATTTCGGAGCAGTCTAATTCCTCCCCTCTCTGCTTATTTCTTCTTTACCACTGAGTGCAGACAATGCCAACTTCTTCCAGCTGATTCATAATAAATAATAATAATAATCTTTATTCCAACCTAGATACAAAACTGCAAACACAACAAAAAATTAAAAATTATATAAAGTATAAATTAAGGCAGTGCGAAAATAAACGAAAACTTAGTTAAAAGATAATGTACCTACTAGGTGAAATAATACTACACCAGTAAGAGTAATGAGAATAAAATTACTCTGAAGACTGGGAGGAAAAGTAAATCCAAATTTAATGAACATATTTTCAGCTAAATAAAACGTACGCAACGTATCGCTAGTGAAGCATTGGTGGAAATGAAGATGTATAACATAAACCAAGCAAAATTAATCAAACTGTAAAATTAACTTAAAATAAGATACATGTTTTCCAACTCAGTAGTCGTTTTAGTAAACAAAAATTCTTTAGCTCTTTTCTTGAACCCCCGAACCGATAGTTCAATAAGTTCATAAGGCTGGTGGCAGCCTATCACCGCCACCAACGGGTTGTTCTTCTCTTATGAGAGGACATTCCGTAGGCGAGAGGATACGGGAATTTTTTTTATCGTCTGACAGAATCTTTCCCAAGACGCTCAGTTTGCCTTCCGAATCGCCTTACGTACCTTTGTTAAAGACTCTTCCGCCGACTTTCCTGAGTTTTCCTAGCTCATTATTCCATAAGGGAGTGTTTCTATTTGTTTTAAGCCGCAAAAGAGGAGATGAGGGCATCAGTGAGCATTGTGACAAATCGTTCTAAGTCAACTTAATCCATCATCCTCTTGTAGAGTCATGCGTTGTTCTCTTTCAACCCCTTACATTCAGCGTACCACTCCGCGTTATGGTATTCACCAAGACTGCGACAAGACTCACTGGTCTACAATTGGGTTAATGTTGTGCGCCTGCTCATGCGCACATTTCATACCGTATAATATTAATTAAGCGGAGCACTTGTGACCAAAGCAAACCGAACTCATATAGGGACAATAATGTGATCTTCGAAATTAGATTAACGTAGTTCAAGGGTTGATCGCCGTTCAAAGTCCAAAATTTACTCTCAATTTTAAAATCCAAAGGTTGGTTGCCCGTAAAAGTCCAAATTTGGTGTCAAATTCAAATGCTTGCCGTTTAAAGTTCAAAGGTTGGTCGCCGTTCAAAGTACCTACTTCGATAGCTGCACTGGAGTTTTTAACTATAACATGAAACACTTGTATGACATCGTAACAAGAAGAAACTGATTTCTCAAACATAATGCAAAGTTAGGGGAACTAGAGTCACCAATGGCAGACAGTCACGTGATGTTACGGACAGTGAAGTTCTTGAACGGGTCTAGGCAAAATTCATGTAACATGCGAGATTTGGGCTTCTCAACAGGTTTGTTTAATAGGCATAGGACTGTTCTCGATAAAAGAATCTGTTTCGCCTTGGTGATTTGTTCATGTGAAACAGAACTGTATCATGCCGTGACGTGGTTCGGCTCGGAAATTGATAGATGTTGAACTAATTGCGCATCTCCATTCAAATGTTCCCATTTTCGACCCTCTATTGAACACAGTATTAGCGTAAGACCCAATGTTTGCCTCTACGAGAATAACTTGGTCATACTTTCTTTAACCTTACCCAAAAAGAGACTTCATTATTTAAAATGAGTGAGGAACTTCGTACGTCGGTGTTAGATAATCTTATTCGAGATTTGAAAGTAGATCCGTAACCTTAAATTTTAAGCGGGTACTTGCATAATTAAACTGTTCAAATATAGCACGGCAGTAGTTAAAGTGCTGTTTGTTTTAAGACATTTTACATTAAATTATGCATACGGAGCGACAGTGTGGGTCCCCGACATGCTAACATCTTTAACTATTTATTATTATTTACAATTAGAGTCATCGTAATCGGCTGGGAATTACACTAAGAACTTATTTGGGTATATAGCACTTTGGGAGAGGATCGATTATGCAAATTACAAGAATCGGTCGACGGCAAGTTTAAACGTCGACTCATTTTTCTGTTTCACTTCAGATAATGTTATCTGAATTAGAAATGCATGTAGTTGCGTTAAATCGATATCGGTTAGATTACGGAGGGTTGTTATGTCATTCCATATCCGAATGTTAAATATTGCTTGAGATATGATAACAGAGTGGTTTGTATTATAAACACAACTTTGGTTAGGATGATTTATTTCCGGAACATTTTTCGAAATAAATTTGAAAGGGAGCGAGAGTTTCGTACTTCAAATTCATTTCTTTAAAAGAAAAGTTCGAATTTCTTCTTAAGAAAATGTTGAAATTGAAGGGCTTTGTCTGCTTAAATATTTATGAACAAATAAAAGTATGCCATATATGATATCAAATTTACACGCGTATTGTTGCGAAATTCGATACTACTGAAAAAAATATAGATTGGTAGGGAATTTGCTACTGTATTAGTTTGCGCATGAAAACTTCGCTTATCATATTTCCTTCTGTAACAGTTTTAGTAAAATGAAGCTATAAATTAAATTCCATACAAAATACGTGCGTATTTTCACCGTCGAACAATGATTTAAGTGTACTTTACGATTCTATAATAATGTGTGTGCTATTCTATTATCGACAAAATCGTAAATAATTCACTACGCCATTACATTGACTATAATGCCATTTTTGTGATATAATATCATGTTTATTATGTAGACTATCACCGTATTGCATTTGGTAGAACTGTGGAAATTAGAAGTAATTGTTATGTTTGGACCTTGCTAACGTTATTGAAA